GCATATAGTACACTCCATAAATGCTTGCTTTAATGATGGAATGTGGCAAGAATCTGGAGTCTTGGGGGACGGACAGGCAGTCAGACATCCAGAATTGTTGTTATGCAACAAAGACAGGCTAGAGAGTCAATGAGACGGGTCACGTGGGATGCTAGGCCTATTGCCTGGGCCCTGGGGAGCCCCAGAGATTTTAGGGTGCAGATTACTTAGGTTAGACCTGTGCTTGGGCTTCCTAAGATCTGCTAGGACAACCCTATGTCCTGCACCCTGCCCTCCCTTCCCACTCTCTCAGGTCAGCTCTGGGTCTCTGACAGGTGATCCAAAACATGACCTCTGAGTTCTTCGCTAACCAGCTCCGAGCCCGAATCTCTGATGACACCACTCATCCAGCCTCCTACTATGAACCTGAATTCTACACTCCTGATGATGGAGGCACTGCTCACCTGTCTGTGGTTTCAGAGGACGGCAGTGCTGTGTCTGCCACTAGCACCATCAACCTCTAGTAGGGGCTGTGGGGCTATAAGGAGGGGCAGAGCTGGGGGTGGGGATTGAGCCAGGGGCTGCCTGTATATCCCATAACTGGGGCTCCCACTTTTATATAGGGAAATAGAGACCCCACCTGGTGGTATGCCCTAGCTGGGCCTCATAGGAAGCAAGCCTGGGCTGGGGTGGGTGGACAGGAACCTGGCAGGGCTTGGCCAGGCTGGGCATAGCTCTCTGACCTGGCCCATTGGCAGCTTTGGCTCCAAGGTCCTTTCTCCAGTTAGCGGCATCCTGTTCAACAATGAGATGGATGACTTCAGTTCTCCCAACTTCATCAACCAGTTTGGGGTGCTTCCCTCACCAGCCAACTTCATCAAGCCAGGTACAGCAAGGAGATCCTGAGGCAGGGGATTTAGGTTGGGAGAGAGTTGGTATCCCGGACACCAGCTGACCACTATATCTGTCCCCTCCTGTGGGCCACAGGGAAGCAGCCACTCTCATCTATGTGTCCGTCGATCATCGTGGGTCAGGATGGCAAGGTCCAGATGGTGGTGGGAGCCTCTGGGGGCACACAGATTACCACATCCACTGCATTGGTATGTGCTACCTACTCACCCTCCCTAACCCTGTGCCTGGACCAAGCTCACACTTTACCAATTCGCTCACCCCTAGGCCATCATCCACAGCCTCTGGTTTGGCTATGATGTGAAGCGGGCCGTGGAGGAGCCCCGATTGCACAATCAGCTTCTGCCCAACACCACAACGCTGGAGAAAGACTTTGATCAGGTGGGCTGGGGGTTGGGGAAACTGAGTCACTGTGTGGGATCACAGGGCATTCTGGGCTGGAGGCCTGCATCTTCTGAGTGGACAGTGGTGGGTGTCCTCTGCCCAGGGCAGATGGTCCTCACACCTGCTACCTGAGTCGTCCTGAGCCCTTATGTAATGAGAGCTAAGCCACCCATTCTAACAAGACCTCATGGGCTGAGGTATCCCCCCACAACTTGCTCTTCTTGGTCACTTGGCTGGAAATGGCACCATCTGGCCCTGTGAGGCCCATGACCACACAGGAGTGGTTCAGATTACATCTGGGACCCTGATGAGGTCCTCCCTTTCCCCTCTTCTCTGCAGGCGGTGGCTGCAGGGTTGAAAACCCGGCACCACCAAACTGAAGTCACTTCCACCTTCATCGCGGTGGTCCAGGCCATTGTCCGCACAACCAGTGGCTGGGCAGCTGCTTCAGACTCCAGAAAAGGCGGGGAGCCAGCCGGCTACTGAGTGCTTGAGGTGGGCAAGACTGACCAGCAACCCAGGAACAAGATATTCACCAGAGCCAAGAGTGGGACTTTGGGGGGATGTACTCTCCCTAGGAGTGACAGAGCAATGTAATAAATGGGGGCTCTGTGCCAGGTTGTGGGCAGGCAGCCTTGCTGGCCGGGCTCTCCACTGCCTGGGTCTCGGTGTCTTTTGTGTGAAAATGGAGCCATCTAGCTGGAGGAGAATGAACAGACAGGATCTGGAGGTCTTTGCACAGCAGGTTGTGGAATGAACCTCAGCTGTTTTTTTGTTTGTTTTTCTTCAGGGCTGGGAATTGGACTCAGGGCTGTTCTACTGCTGAGCTACCATCTCAGCCTTTTAAAATTAATTTTTTTGAAGTACTAGGAATTGAACACAAAGTGGCACTCTGCCATTATATGTTATATCCCCAGTCTGTTTTTAATTTTGTTTTGAGATACGGTATCATTTGCCCAGGCTGACCAGGGAGCTAAGCCACCTGTTCTAACAAGACTTCATGGGCTCGGGTATCCCCCCAGCTTGCTCTTCCCTGGTCACTTGGCTGGAAATGGCACCATCTGGCCCTGTGAGGCCCATGACCACACAGGAGTGGTTCAGATTACATCTGGGACCCTGATGAGGTCCTCCCTTTCCCCTCTTCTCTGCAGGGGGTGGCTGCAGGGTTGAATACCCGGCACCACCAAACCGAAGTCGCTTCCACCTTCATCGCTGTGGATCCTCCTGCCTCAGCCTCAGCCTCTGAGTAGCTGGGATTACAGCTGTGCCACTGTGCCTAGTAGCCTTTTTTTTTTTTAATGGACACAATGCCTTTAATTCATTAATTTATTTACTTGTTTTTATGTGGTGCTGAGGTTCGAACCCAGTGCCTCATATATGCTAGGCAAGCGCTCTACCACTGAGCCCCAGCCCCAGCCCTCAGCCTGTTTTTTAGCAGGAGGAGAACCTGATGGGTGGGTAAGTGGAAGAGCAAGAGGCAGTCCCTTATCAAACATGGTCTTTTCCCATCTTGAGTCCCCAGGATTAGAGGCCATTCGTCCCCTTCTTTGGGGCGGTGCAGTGGGAAGCAACACTTCCTAGTGTTGACCACAATGGGGAGCCCTGGTTCTGACATCAACTTGGGCAGAGGGCCCCGGTAGCCGACAGGAGTGTGGGTTCTTTCTTTTCCAACTCTAACGTGTCTGGGCTCACCCTGCCCAGGACACTGGGAGGTGAAACTCTGACCTGAGGAACAGGGACTGGGCAAGAAACTGAAACAAAACATCTTGGTCAGAGCCATGCCCAGGGTCACTTTTCAAGTACAACCCAGAGTCAAATCCAAGCTTGTGATCAGCTCCAGAAAAAGACTCAGTTCTCTGGGAATGGCAAGCTGGAGGAGACCCCCAGGTCTCTGAAGGGAAGGTGGCCCCGAGAAGGTGGGTTGTGAATGGCCACTGCTGGGCACAGCTTCCCTCCCCAGGGTCCAGCCCCTCTAGCCCTCCCTCAAGGTCTTTTGATTTGTCCTTCATACAGTTGTAGGTGAGGAGCTGATGAAGGCTCCTGCAGATGGGCTGGGAAGGGAGTCTCAGCCTGACAACCCGATGTAACCCCCATCTGTGAGCCCCAAGTAGGGAGGGCCCTGAGGGCAGGAGCACAGGGGCTAGAAGAGGGACCAGGGTAAGTAAGCCACATCTGGGCTCTTCTTTAGGGCTGGAAAACTTAGTGCTTCCAAAGTACCCACTGGAAAGTGGGGTTTTGTGCTTGCAGGCTACATTCTAGGTCTGTGACTGAGCCTGAGAGGTTTCTATCTCTGGGGTTCCCTGGGAAAGAGATGGAGCTGGGTAATCAGGTGTGGCAGTCATTCCTCAATCCTTATTTTAGTGTGAGAGGAAAGGCCATGACCTCATTTTCAGAGGAAAAGATTGAGGCCTGAGGGGTGGGCCTTGCTCATGGTTGCACAGCCAAGAGGGAGCAGGAGGCTGTCATGAAACTCCCTGAGCCATAACATGCTGGAGGCATATCCAGGTTCTCCAAGGCTTATCCCAGGGCTCCTTTGGGTCTGATTCACCTCTCTTCCCTACCATCCCATCCCCTGTCATTTCCTGGATAAGGACATTCAGGGACCATCCCAGCTGAGCCTCCCCAGCTGAGTCCCTGGCCAGGCCCAGCATGACAACAGACCCTTTCCCTAGGTCTCTTCTCTGGCTGTCTCTGCACTCTGGCCTCTGCCTAACCAGGATGACTGGGGAGAGAACAGGGATGCCTCACCCCTTGACCCTGCTGTCCTTGTTGTTCCCTATGCTGGCCTCTTGAGCTCTGGGGACCGCGGCGGGTGGGTGGGCTGGCTCCCATCCAGGAATGTACTTTGGTTCCCAGTTGAGCAATGTCACTGCAGAGTGGAGGTCATCTGGGGGTGGGAAGAGGCTCCCACAGCCCACCCCTCCTTGAGGCAACTGTGGGAACAGACTTACAGGAAACAGCCACTCTGGCCCAGGCTGACCAGGGGCTCTGGACACAGTGGGGCTGATAGGCTGTGACCTGTGCTGACATTGTCCTCTGGGCCTCATTTCTTGGCTATACTGGAAGGTGGGCTCTGACTCCAGTAGTCAGATGGAAAAAGAGAAGGGAGCCACGGGGACTATTGGGTGGAAGTCTAGCTCATGACCTTTGTGCCCTGAACTCCTGTTAAGCCTGGTCAAATATGGACCTCGATGAGTGCTCACTCCCCCCGACTGCTTCCCAGCTGGACACCCTGGGGTCTGGGGAGAACAGGAGGAGCCAGGCCAGTGTCCTCAAGGAAGAGGAACTGTCAGTATAGGAATAGGCTTGAGCACCCATAGACTCAGGGAGGCGACCACAGAGGGGCTGAGCTGCAGAGGAAGGGCAGGGGTCCAGGGAGGGCAGCCTCACTCTCCGGAGGCCCAAGGCTGCATTTCTAGGACAGCTGTTCCCAGGGATAGGTGGTCTAGTGGCACTGGGTGCTATAGTTGGACACATGGCCTGTCTCCATCCCCTGCCCTGTGGGTGACACCCAGGGCCCTGGGCCAAGCTGTGGCTGAGCCATACAGAGTGACCCTGTTTTGGGTCCCCTTTCCCTCTTCAGCCCCGCTCCTGTGCCAAGTGGATGCTGCTGTATAGGTGGGGCCGGCAGAGGGGGTGGGATTGGGGAGTGGAGCTCCACTGTGATGGGAAGACCTGATCTCTCTGTGTTTGGTTCAGGCAGGGGAGCTGGACGGTCCTTACTCTGATTTCCCTGCATTGCTGAGACTTGGGAAATGACATAGGAACCTTATACCCTAGCTTCCCCAGGTGCAGCAGGCATCAAGTCCTCAAGCACATTGAGATGAGAAAACCCCGGGTACTGTCGGGGCTGGCAGGAGGGGCCATGAGACCAACTGGCAGTGAAGGAGTTAACCACAGCAGCTGGCTCTTCTCTGCAAGGAAAAACTCCCCCTAGATGTCTGGCCTCCTGCCAGCACCAAGCACTGAGCTGAAAACTGGAAGTTCACCCTTGTGGCCAGATCTGCTTCTGTAGAGAGCGCTTGAAGAGGGTAGCAGTCCTGCCACTGCCGTCTGTCCAGGTCTTCATAAACCCATCTATCTGCTTGGCTGACCACTGTTCATCTGTAAACCTGTTTGTCTGCCTATCTGTAAGTCCATCTCTTTCCAAATGTCTGTCTGACCATCCTCTCTGTCGAGCTATCTAACCTGTATGTCAATCCATCTATTGGTATCAAGCCCACAATTTTTCTCTCTGTCCAATCATCTGTGAGTCTACTTTTTATCCACCTGTCCTTTTTTGTCTGACCATTGGCTTATCTACCATCTGTCTCCCCTGTCTCCCTGGACCACTGAAACATGGCCCAGGGCCACAGGGCCACAGTCGGCTTGGTCCTGCTGGGACTGGGGCTGGCACTGACGATCATCGTTCTAGCTGTGGCCCTCTCTCGCCGCCATGCCCATTGTGGCCCCAAGGCCTTTGCCCATGCTGCTGTCGCTGCTGACTCTAAGGTCTGCTCAGACATTGGACGGTGAGTGAGAGGCGGGTAGGAACTGGGTGGCCTTGGGCATCTGATCCTTCCTGGAGACTTTGGTGGTAAAGGTGTGGAGAACGCACGTGTATGTACATGCTGGCTGGTGGAGTAAGAGCTGTGTGGTTTTGGGCTCCAGCACTGACCAGGCCTGGGTACAAGGAGGTAGCCCCAGGACCCTTGAACAGAATAGGTGGCAGATATGCCCCCATGGCAGATGGTGACCCACAGGGCAGTGCCAGTGGGGGCAGAGGTCATGTGTGAGTCCATTCCTGGTTCTAGGGCTCAAGAAGTCCATCTATAATAATGCACAGGTTAGAAATAGCGACCCTAAGGGCTGGGGTTTGTGGCTCAGTGGTAGAGCACTTGCCTAGCATGTGTGAGGCACTGGGTTCGATCCTCAGCACCACATACACAAAAAAAAAAAAAAAAAAAAAAAAAGAAATGAATAGAGACCCTAACAAGGTTTTTCTGCCTCACCCCTGGTATGGCCCAGCCTGACTCTGATGGTCTGTATTGGCTCCTTTAGCAAAGCTGTGCCAGTTGCCCAAGGGCTGGGGAATTTTACCAGGAACATAGGCGAGAGGGTACAGAGGCTCCGATGTGGGTACTGCCCAGGGCTAGTCTCCCTGGTGGCTCAGGCTTCATCTCCAAGTCTCTCAGACTTAGAAAATGCCCCCTGCAAGTGCCACGTCCCTCATGACATCCCTACGCATGTCTGAGCCTGGCTAGGTAGGCGGAGTGACTGATATTTGGCAGGCCAGGACCAGGGTGGCGGTGGAGAGGGGCCACAGCTGGCTCTTCCTGATCTTCTTCCAGGAAACCCAGCCCACGGGAAGCTTCTGCTGCCTGCCACACCACCGTCACTGGGGCGGGACATGGCAGGAAACTCCTCCCGGCCCCCTGCCTCCCACTGAGCCCCTAGAAGCCTGGGCAAGCATTCCTTTCCCGCCAGCCAACGTGTCTGCTTCCCAGAATATCTGCCTCACAGGCCATTGTGAGGATTCAAAGTGCTTTGCCAACCCGTGGGCCAGTCCTGCTGCATGGGGGCCGGTGACAAGGCTCTGGCCCAGTCCCCTGGTTCCTGGCTTCTCCTCTGCCGTGCTTTCTTCTATTATTCATTCATCCACCTTTTCATTCAGTCCATCTTCTCTTCATCTGTCCATCTATACATCCTTCCTAGCTCTAATCACCTTACCTTACCTGTCCCTACGGGCTCCTGACTGGGTCCTCTGGGTCTGCTTCCTCCCACATCTGCTCCTAGGACAGCAGTGGCTGAGAGTGGCAGTTCAAGGACAAGTCAGGACAGGCAGCCACTTTGTCTCCCCAGGATGTTCCCATGAGATACAAGGGATGAGGCCACTTGCCACCTCTAACAATGCCCCTGTCGCATCAGGACAAGAAGAGATGTGGTACCTGCCTATACCCAAAGTCACAAAGATATTAATGAGACTACTGGACCTCAGACCCCAGAGATGACCATGTGGGCATGTTCCTGGAGTGGAGGGTGGGCTGCTGTCACATATCAGAGTGAATTCTGGGCCCTTTGTGTTGGGAGTCGCCCTAGCTCCAAAGACTAACCTCCCCATCCCCAGAAGAGCTGTCCAAAGGTGAGTCCTGCTGACTCACATGATCCTTACCCACCAATCAGAAAGCACCCCATGCCAGCTGCCAAAACCCTTAAACTGTTAAACTGTTTCAACCACAGACCATCCCAGGCTCTATAAATATGCAGAGCTGCCTCAATGAACGGGCATTTTCTTGGATGACAGCAAGTTCTTTCACTTTGTATCTCCCAGTCTCTGCCTCCAACACTCCACACTTTTGTGTCTCTTCTCTGAGCCTGCTTCCTTGCGGTCCCATCTTCTGAGCCTGCTTCCTTGCGGTCCCATCTCTCTCAGGCTTCCCCTGGGTGGAAAGGGCGGATGTGGTTTCTCCCCATTGTTTTGTTAACCAACTCTCTCTGCTTCTTGTTCTTGTTTTAAGAAGTTAGGAGTGGGAGGGAGCCTGGGGCTGGTTTTAGCTTGTGCTTCAGAACAGGGATCCCGTGACCCCGGCTAGGCTGGAGCCCTAGGTCTGTTTCTCAGGACCCCTGGCTGGGGCAAGTGCTTTGGGCCCTGTGAGTGTCCTCTAGTTGCTCTCTTGAGTATGGTAAAGCTGTGGGCCTTGGAAAGGTGGGTACCTGGCCAAGATCTCTTCCTGTGTGGCACCTGGTCACTGCCATAGCATCTTCTAGTGACTACCCTTAGCCCATGCTATTTCCTTCTTGTTCCCATTTCTCCCCACCATCTGCAGGAACTTGAGCTCCTGAGTGAAGGTTCTTAAGGTTTATGTGAGGAGCTGGCCTCAAGCCCAGTAAACAACAATAGGAGCAAGGTGACAGTGAGATCCCTTCCCCTCTAGTCTGTAGTCTTTCAGTGTTTCATCCCAATGTGTTAAAATCAAACTGAGTGTTGTGATGATCAGAATGTTTGTCTTCTTTTTATTTATTTTTAAATTTTTATTTTATTTTATTTGTTGAGTTGTAGTTGGACACAACACTTTTATTTTATTTATTTTTATGTGATGCCAGAGCCTCGCACATGCTAGGTGAGCACTCTACCGATGCGCCCCAGTCCTAACCCCAGCCCAAGTGTTTGTCTTCTAAGGAGACTTCTTGAATTTTAGGGCTAGGGATATCTTTCAGGTTTTGTGACTTCTGCCTGAGGTAGCTTCTCAGAAATTCTTGCACTTCTGTGGGATCTTCAGTGGGAGGATTTGCTTTTCTATTTGACTTAGGAGAAAATTAGGTCTGCCCAGGAGAAAGAACCTGCCTGGCACCATAGTGAGCATGCCTAGCTGGAGCTGATATTGTTTTCTCTGCTATTGCCACTGCTGCTCCTGCAGGAGTAGAAACTTTCCAGGGCTGTGGGAGGGGTGAGGTCTTCCTAGAGTCCCCCACTTCCCCACCTTGGACTCCCCTGGACTTGGCTCACTGAGGCCAGAGCTGTACCATATTCAAGTGAGCAATTAGAGGGTACTCATAGCACCCCAGGGCACTTGCCCTTAGGACACTGAAGAGCCAGCTTCTGGGAGATTGGAATCTGGGCTGGCACTGGGGGAAGGGGGTGGGGCGTGACTGAGCCCAAGGGCTAGTTTTTGTCAACTGTTATATGGTGTCTGAGTGTCACCCTTGGTACAGGGGAGAGCAGGGACATTGGACAAGCTGCTGAACCTTGTGAGCCTCTCTTTCCTCATCTGCAAAATGGGGCTTAGGTTGGTGCCTCCTCCATGGGGTGGTCTAAGCCCACAGAGAATGAGGCCTGGGGCTCATCCACACATTGGAAGTGTCCCCTCCATGGCCACCACTCTGTCTAATAATCTTCACCATAGCTTGACCTGGACATGGGTCACCTTCTCAGAACCTAAGGGGGGATTAGGGTGTGGCCTCTACTCCCTTTCCCTCAGGACCATGGCCTTTTACCCTACCCCTTCCCCTCTTCCTGGCTCCAAACTGGGCCTGTGACCCTCATGGTTCTCTGTACCCTGGGCCAGCTCACCAGGAAATTACTGAATTTCCTCCGATCTGGGACTCTGTAGGAAATACCCTTTGTGTCCAAGGACTATGCACATGTGTGCAAATGTGTGAGTGAGAACACACGCATCTGAATGGATGTATCATAGCAGCTATGATGACAAGGGACTCCTGGCTCTGTAGAAACATGTTAGAAACATGTAATTCTTCTATTGGGCAGAACTGCCCACATTTCACAGCTGAGGAAACCTTGGCTAAGAGAAAGAGTTACCTATCCAGGCTCATGCAGCTGATGAATTAGGAACAGCAGCCCCCTGGGCACCCTGAGCCTGCAAGTGTGTTTGATGTGGTGCTGTGGACACATGTGGGTGTGTGCATCCCTCTCCACTTGCAATATGTAATATCCTCTTTTTTCCTCTATCAAGTATGTGAGGAATATCTACTTTCTGCCAGTCATGGCTTAGGAAAGCAGAAGTAACCAAAATGTACAAAGTCCCTGGCTTCCTGGTTTGGAAGACACGCAATACACCAATCCATAACCAATGTCAGGGGATTGGAAATGATCATTGGTCATCTGGAGGTCCTCTTCCTTGAAGTTTCTGTCATAATCTTTTGTCCATTTTTTTTTACGAGTTTGTACATCAAATGTATTTTCTGCATTATCTGTTTTTCTCTCTTTTAAAAAATTCAGTGTACCATGGCACACGCCTGTAATCCCAGCAGCTCAGGAGCCTAAGACAGGAGGATCGCAAGTTCAAAGCCAGCCTCAGTAATGACGAGGTGCTAAGCAACTGAATGAGATCCTGTCTCTAAATAAAAAATGTAAAATAGGGTTGGGGATGTGGCCCAGTGGTCAAGTGCCCCTGAGTTTAAACAAGGGCTAGGGGACTGGAGTTGAGGCTCAGTGGTAGAGTGCTTGCCTGGCAATGTGTGAAGCACTGGATTCAATTCTCAGCACCACACATAAATAAATAAATAAAGGTCCATCAACATATTAAAAAAAAAAGTGGGGGAACTAGGGATATGGCACAGTAGTTAAGTACTCCTGGGTTCAATTCACAATAAAAAAAAATGCTAAGTATATTAAGTCACACTTTCATTATTAAAGCAAACTCTACTTAGTGATTGATTTAATATCATTTTTATGTAACACAAGGTATAAAATGTGATTTGCTAATTTTTTTAGGAGTTTTGTCTCTATGTTCATGAGGGGTATTGGTCTGTAATTTTCCTTTCTTATAATATATATATATCAATCAGCCTTTTGTTATGACACGTACCTGAGAAAGACAACGTCGAGGAGGAAAGATGTATTTATGCTCACAGTTACCGAGGTTTCAGCCCATGGTTGACTGTCTCATTGTTTTGGGCCTGAGGTGAAGCAGAACATCATGGTGGCAGGAGAGTGTGACCAAGGCAGCTGCTCAGTTCATGAAAGACAAGAAGTGGAGGTGGGGGTGAGATGGGTAAAGAGAAAAGACAAACC